GGTGCGCCAAGCACTTAGAAATTCGTAACAATTGAAAAGAGTAAACATTGTTCGAATTAAATACTTACTGAAGTTAGATCAATTCCTCAAACATTTAATTTCATGGACACCTAGAAGTAAATATCTTCTCTGCACTACAACACCACTGGCACTGCACCAACGAGAGTTCTGGCGCCACAACGAGAGTACTGGCGCCACAACAACGAGGTCACGGGAACCGCAACAACGAGGTCACGGGCACCACAACAACGAGGTCACGGGCACCACAACAACGAGGTCACGGGCGCGGCAACAACGAGGTCACGGGCACCACAACAACGAGGTCACGGGCACCACAACAACGAGGTCACTGGCGCCACAACAACGAGGTCACGGGCACCACAACAACGAGGTCACGGGCACCACAACAACGAGCTCACGGGCACCACAACAACGAGGTCACGGGCACCAGAACAACGAGGTCACTGGCGCCACAACAACGAGGTCACGGGAACCGCAACAACGAGGTCACGGGAGCCGCACCAACGAGGTCACGGGCACCAGAACAACGAGGTCACGGGCACCAGAACAACGAGGTCACTGGCGCCACAACAACGAGGTCACGGGCACCACAACAACGAGGTCACGGGCACCACAACAACGAGGTCACGGGAACCGCAACAACGAGGTCACGGGCACCACAACAACGAAGTCACGGGCACCACAACAACGAGGTCACGGGCACCACAACAACGAGGTCACGGGAACCGCAACAACGAGGTCACGGGCACCACAACAACGAAGTCACGGGCACCACAACAACGAGGTCACGGGCACCACAACAACGAGGTCACGGGAACCGCAGCAACGATGTCCCTGGCACCTTAACATCGAGGTCACGGGCACCACAATAGCGAGTCTGGACCCGCAGAAACAGAATATTCATCTTATCTTTATTTAGCTCACAAACTGCAGCACATTTCACGAACAGGACGAGTGGAACCGAGAAGAATAGGGCTCGGGACCCCATCAGGTTCACGGACTGTATTCCCAGCCGCCGATAGTGGAACACTCTTAGTTTGTCGCCTATCCTTCAGACAGAAAAGGTACTTCACAGATTACATTAGAACATAGGTATAAATGAAATTTCAGAAGGCCTATTGGCCCTTGCGAGGCAGCTCTTATTTATGACCAACTAAACTCTTCCATATGAACAAATCCACAAGGGCCGTGACGAGGATTCGAACCTGCGCCCGAGAGCATCCCAGACGCTGCCTTACTCGAGCGCAGGTTCGAATCCTCGTCACGGTCCTTGTGGATTTGTTCTCTTCCATATATTTGTCTAATCTTCTTTTGAAATATCTTCACTCCATTTTGTAAACCAGCTGTTTACCCAATTTGCCATCGAGTAAGCGGCAGGCCCCATGTGTAGGCGGTACTTGAAGGGAAGATTTGTGAAGAAAAAGTAATCCAAAAAGGAAATAATCGAATAAATAATTTTTGAAGGATCGGAAGGCTTAATACTTTTTAACTCGATGATGAGGAGAAGCTAATTTGGATAAAATATTCAGCAAAGCATAATTGAGGTTGGTACACTTTGTTAAAGTGCATCAACTTTAGTTGGTGCACTAAAATTGGATATTTTAGGGCAATAATAACCATAATATTATTGGATACATTTTAGGGCAATAATAACCATAATAAGATAATTCGGATTTATATATTAGTATATTTTCGGAGCAGCCTTTCTTGAAGACATATTTTATTGAATGTAACAGAACGAGTGAGATCAATGATTCTAGCCCGTATTTTCTCTATTTGTCTATGTTTTTTCTTCACTTTGGGAGGAAGTTGAAAAATGGACTCTCCAAGATTCATTTTCCAATTTTATTTGGCCCGATGCTAAAACGTGCGTTTCGTTAACCCTTGTTATAATTATCAAAGGCAGAGTTCGAATAGTTACAAGTTTGAATGATGAAGAGTAAGCCACCCAAGAGGTGGCACGGGCATGAATAGCCCGTGGTTACAAATTGATTGATGAAGATTAAGGTGACACGGCCAGTCTTCTATTATTACTGTATTTGTCGATTATTTTGGTATTGTCTGTCAGGATGTCTCTGGTGATGATCTGATATATGCAGAGACTGTATGTTACTTGACAGGACCTTATTGTTTGTGCACTGCTAGGTGTCTTGAAAGGAAAGTAGATTGTCTTCCCTATATATTGAGTTCGTTGAGGTTATCGGTCCTCAAGTGGGCATGTGAAGGCATAGACGACATTCGTCTCTTTCAAGGGATTTTGTTCGGCAATCTTCTTGCTTTTGAAGTACATTATCAATTAAATCTTCTGGTTGGTACCTGTAGGAGTCACAATTCTGTCAATAATCGTTTTGTGGGCCACGAAGAACATTACTAAGAGCACCGTGACCTTCCATCTTCCTTTACACACTCTCCTTCATTTCTCTCTCACTCTTACTCTCTTTCTCTCTCTCTAAATCCTGCTCACCTTTAACATTCATCAGCCATGATTGTTAGCGTTCGGGCGGCATAACTGGCGGAACTGCAGGTAATTATACTTTCCATCAAGCTTAATCAGCATAATTAATCTCGGCGATTATGTGGAGCGTCCACCACGTGAGGAGAAATTGGGGCCTCGTCTTGATGGACCCAGAATTTCCACATAACTAGGTTCATTAAATTTTTATTACTTAGCGCTTTTAATTAAAAATCCGCTTGAAGTTACGGTGTCCAGTTATCCATTCTTGTCCCACTTACTTTTATACCTCTATGGTATAAAAGTTACATCAATGTTCGTGTAAGCAATGGACGAATAGCGTCGGTCGACTCTTCTTGGTGATCCGCCTACAGCGCCACGAACGATCATCTGTTGTTGTTTTAATAGGATTTCCAAAATAGAGCAGAGGAGAGTCACACTTAAACGGCGCCTCGGCCACCACTGCTGCTCCACACACACCCGTTCTTAGCCAGCTGCAACCGTGGCCTGGATATATATATTACATATTACATATTACGGCCTTATTCCGTATTCTGGCATTATATATGCTGTATTATCTATTATGGCTAAATTACTAATTTATGAAATTACTAATTTATGGCAATATGAGTTTAAAATATATTAGGCGTTCTGGGTGAATTAAGTATCATAGCACGAAGCATATAAATTGCAAACCAAGCACGCAAATATTTATTTTAGGATGGATTTTAGTTTATATACTGTGCATATTTACAGTTTCTTGTCCTCCATGGACAGGGTCAGAGATCTGTTAAACATCATACAGAGTAATGAGTTATTGAGCACTCAACCATGGAAGGCGAATGTAGTACTGTTAGTACCAGGCTACTGTGATGTGGAATTTATATGGGAACAAGGCCTCATTACCGGCACCGAGAACGTGCACACGTGAGCTGGGAATGTATACACACACACACACACACACACACACACACACACACACACACACACACACACACACACACACACACACACACACACACACACACACCTACTACTTAAATGCTTGTTCCCGGTCTTGTTGTTAAATGCTTGTTCACACCTACTACTTAAATGCTTGTTCGCCTGTGTTGTCAAACTTCGACAGGTGACGTTTCATGATCACACAACAGTTTCAAGTTTTAAGTCAATGCCAAGTGCTTCCAAAAGATACACTCGTCAACAAGTTCAAAAAAATTAATTAAACAAATAACACAAAACAGCTATATATTATTACCGGGGTAATAATAATAATAATAATAACAACAATAATAATAAAAGTGAGAGAAATCAGTAGGGTTTGAACCTGCACACTGGGTACTACCAAACACACGCCTTAGACCGCCTAATCACACGCTAAACAGCAATGGCTCCTATCGATTTTCTCATTGATACATCACGTTAATGTGATTGCTCAATAATTAATAACTATGCTCTAAATATTCCCGTTAGACTCAGAACGAAAAGTGATAACATTCAAAAGTCGGTATGACGATAAAACAAAATCCTATATATAATATTGTCTGTATCATTGGGATGGCAGAACGGAGGCAATTTTACGCGTTTAGTGATAAATGGACAAAAACTGATTGAAAAGCCAACTACTTGTAGCGTTGACGCAATATGTAGTGATACGGAAAATGTCATAAATCTTCATTCAATATTGAAGGGTTCACTTCCTTGCATATATGCAGTTTTCCTCGACCCACCGCAGAAAGTGTATAACAGTAATGAACACATCATTGAACAACGCTGTAAAATTTGAGCTCGTAAACACAGGTTAAAGGTTAATTATCTCTTTCGGTCTTGACCAGTGTTTAAGAATTAAGATGTTAGTTCGCAGGTAATAATTGATTTTGAATACTGATTATGTTAAAAGACCTGGGGGGGGGGATCCAGATTTGTAGCGTGGGCGAACGAAAACCCTATAGATTCCTAAATATACGATGTGCAAGCACCAACAGCCGAGTAATGCAAACGGTAACACTACCAGCATGTTTGGTCACCTTTCTACGTTTTGTGGTGAGCTTGTAATTTTTGTAACATTCAGGATTTATCAAGAAGATTAAAGATTAACCAAATTCTACTAATATTTTACTATTTATGCGTAATGTTGACAACGGTATACAGGAAGTACGTACAAATCATTGTTTATTTGTCTAGTAAATATATACCTCTGATTATCTTCCTCCTACTCCTGTCATCTCAGTCACCAGTCATTACCATCATCCTCGATAATAGATACCATACTTCATCATCATAATCTTTGAGGGACAAAAGTCATCACGATTACCTGCATTCGTCACATGGAATGTACATGGAACAGCCTTCATAATTACCTGTATTCATCATTCTACTATACCTTGCTCAAGCAACATTGAATGAGAGTGACGATGTATTTATATATTCGTCATCATCGCAATTATGACCGCCCCCCTCCCTCGTGCAGTTCCTTGCTTTAGTGGTGTCATGCCTCGCTAACGAAGGATTCTCTGTCTCCTGCAGGCGGAGTTGTCGGAGTCGCTACAGCAGCTGTCTGGACGAGCCAAGTCTGCCCACACCCATATCACCAACCTCAAGACTTTCCAGGACCGAGTTAATGTGAGTAACCCGGGTGTGTGTGTGTGTGTGTGTGTGTGTGTGTGTGTGTGTGTGTGTGTGTGTGTGTGTGTGTGTGTGTGTGTGTGTGTTAAGCTCTAGGGCACCGCATTTAAGCTCTTAGATATTACATCTGCTATTTATGTTATAGTAACAAATTAGTTTTGACAGTAGCAGTAGTAGTAGGTAGAAGTAGAAGCAGTAACAACGGTTAAATAAATACTACTACTATTAATGAACACTATGTTGTTCTTGTAAAAGAACTTATACAAGAATAACAAGATTAGAAGCTATATCCCCCCATCCCCGCTCCGTGATACACCCTACCACACGCTGTCATACACATCGCTATACACCAGCGTGTATATATACGAGCTCTCTGTTACTATTACGTCACTGTCACACACGAGTACACCCTCTTACACCCCTTGCAACAACGTCACACTGGCTCGCTGTTGATCATGTTCCTCCTGCTGGCATTGCTGCAGGCCCACTGTGACACGCTGGCTACCGAGGTGGAGAAGCAGTGCTCGGAGCTGATGGAGGCGGTGAGGGAGGCGCGGACGAGGCTACTTGCCCAGCTGGCAGCAGAGAGAGAAGCCACCACCAAGATCTACAGGTATCTATAAGAGTTGTTGCCTTTGAAACACGAAACTGGGTAAAAAAAATGAATTTCTGTATAATTTTCGGCATGTAGAGAATCTTCTTAAAATCTCTCAAATCATACAATTAGATCTCTCTAAGAGTGAATCGTTACCAACAACAGTTTTCTCAAGATAATGTGTTTCAACTTTACCAAGATGGACAGGAGTAAAATTGGCATTGAAATGTTCATGATGATTTTAATGAAGATTAAACCTAGTTAAGAAAAAGATAGAGAGATGGAGTCAGGGTGCAAGACAACAACAGACACACTGAAACAAAATATATATATATATATATATATATATATATATATATATATATATATATATATATATATATATATATATATATATATATATATATATATATATATATATATATATGTCGTACCTAGTAGCCAGAACGCACTTCTCAGCCTACTATGCAAGGCCCGATTTGCCTAATAAGTCAAGTTTTCATGAATTAATTGTTTTTCGACTACCTAACCTACCTAACCTAACCTAACTTTTTCGGTTACCTAACCTAACCTATAAAGATAGGTTAGGTTAGGTTAGGTAGGGTTGGTTAGGTTCGGTCATATATCTACGTTAATTTTAACTCCAATAAAAAAAATTGACCTCATACATAATGAAATGGGTAGCTTTATCATTTCATAAGAAAAAAAATAGAGAAAATATATTAATTAAGGAAAACTTGGCTTATTAGGCAAATCGGGCCTTGCATAGTAGGCTGAGAAGTGCGTTCTGGCTACTAGGTGCGTCATATATATATATATATATATATATATATATATATATATATATATATATATATATATATATATATATATATATATATATATATATATATATATATATATATATATAAGCATAGAGATACATATAGAGGAACTCACAAACATTCAGATATACAAAACAGAGAAACATTAACATATATAGAATCAAGGAGACGAATAGTACTTTTGGGACAGTATTCATCAAGTATTTACGAAACCTGTACATCTTCATTTATTCGTGAGGGCTTTGTTTACATTTATGAAATAGTTTTCGAGCTACAAAACTTCGCAACCCACGGATATTATTGTCATAAAAAATCTTGTAGTGCTTCGGAGCTCAGACACTGTTTAATAAACGTAAAGAAAGCCGCCATGATTGAGGAAAGATGTACAGGTTTCGTAAGTGGTTGCATAAATGCTGGAAGAAATCGTCTCTGGTTAAGATGGTTTTAAGTCCATCGTGAGAGAGAGAGAGAGAGAGAGAGAGAGAGAGAGAGAGAGAGAGAGAGAGAGAGAGAGAGAGAGAGAGAGAGAGAGAGAGAGAGAGAGAGAGAGAGAGAGAGAGAGAGAGAGAGAGAGAGAGAGAGAGAGAGAGAGAGAGAGAGAGAGAGAGAGAGAGAGAGAGAGAGAGAGAGAGAGAGAGAGAGAGAGAGAGAGAGAGAGATTTTCCCAAGTGACGGGAATGACTGAGAGGAAAAGATGTACAGGTTTCGTAAGTGGTTGCATAAATGCTGGAAGAAATCGTCTCTGGTTGAGATAGTTTTAAGTCCATCGTGAGAGAGAGAGAAAGAGAGAGATTCGCAAGTGACGAAGTCTTCTCCTGTATGGACAGAGACCAGGCAGCTGGGTGCACGCGACGCCTGCACCAAACCACAGCGCTCGTACAGTTCTGCATCGAAGCCATCAAGGAGCCCGAGCCAGCGGCTTTTATGCAGGTGGGAACTGTCGAGAATTTGTTTCCCGTAGGCATTGTGCTTTACACCTTTGTTCTAATACCTAGACTTTTTTACAGTACTGTAACGTGACCGACGAAACCTTTTTTGTATGAATATATTTTATTTTGCGCATAATTTTGGTTCTGTATATGTTATACTTGCAACCATTAAGAACACTAAAAAATTCTTGAGGTAGTTGACATGGTTGTGTGTACAATATTCCATGTAAAGATTGCAATGAAGCTCTATATTGGCCAAAGAGGTAAACATCTTTACCAGAGAACACAAATGTGTTATAAGGACAGGTCAAGAAACCAATTCATTGATTGTTCTCTTAGAAGAATGTAATCATTCAATTGATTGGACTAATTCATGCAAAACTGTGGAGTGTAAATCAGTTACTGAAAGAAATATTATATAATTTTCATATACAAAAAACAGGGAATTAGATAATATTAAGTCCAGGATTACATAAGTTAGATAACTTTATAATTGACAAGATTTGTGATAGGAATAAAATTAGGTAATGAATAATTGTAAGTGTAGTATATTCCAAGAATAAAGGAATATCTATTTAATCTCACTTACATCCTCTTTTAATCATGTCACTTCCATTATGCGATATTTTGTTTACGGATCTTTACCTACTCTGGTGTAGTGGGGTATATAGCACCCTGTCTTCTCTGCCTGGATTCCTTCTTATGTGTTGAAACACGAATACGTTCGAAATTTTAGTTTCATTTCCTGCGTGGATACTTACGCATATATATTAGTTCACTAGCACCCAGATACCTATTTACTGCTAGGTGAACAAAGGCATTAAGCGAAAGGAAACGTGCCCAGCTATTTCTATCCCACCCGGGATTTCTTTAGTGCAATAGTATAAAAATGGAGGGATATGGCAAGGAAGCGGTAAAAGCCTATCCATACGTAAATGTGCCCAAAATGGAGAGTATACATATATAAAAAAACGGAAGCTACAAGCGACCAGAAGCTGGGTAACAGGTCCCACACGCCACTAAATGTTCCAGAAACTTACCCCAGGTCCAGCTGGAGACGATTCGTAACCCCAAGGGAGTAATTGTACGACCTTCACCTTGCATTACACCTTGATAAAGAGAACCTTGCGTGAGTATTACCTGGCCGGGGATCAGGCAGCCGGCCACCGAGGGAAGGGACACCCCCGTCATTTTGGAAGATATTTTTTCCTTTACAGTCGGATATTGGGAAGTGTTTTATGTTATGTGGTTGAGAATGGAATGGGCAAGATATTGTTTTGGTTTTGATATATATAAGATTGGACAAAAACTGGCTTTATAATCCTCTGGAGAGCAGAAATCATTTTCAATAATTGTTGCAGTTACTGTTATTAAAAGACACAATATGTTGTTGTTTATCTGATAATTTGTTATTGCTGCTACTAGTGTTAATACTGATTGATATTATTATAAGTATTATGATATATATTAGTAGTAGTATTTATGCTATATATTAGTAGTAGTATTTATGCTATATATTATTATTATTAATAACATTATTAATGATATTAGCATTACTATTGTCATCTCTTGTTCGTATCCAGATGGGACCTCAGCTGATCGGTCGAGTGAGTGACCTGGACCTGACTTGGGACAAGGAGCTGGCCTCCTCCTCAACACGCCTCAGCCCCTACATCGACCTCGACGTCGAACACAAGAGTGTCCTCAGAGCGCTCAACACCTTCAACTTCGTCCAAATGAAACGTAGGTCGAGCTGTCTTTTCTCGGAGTTCAACATCAATCTGGACTTCAACATGAGTTAGCCAGTTAAATTATCGATCTTAAATTGTAACGTCAAAGGCAACACCAGTCACTCAGAAGAGCTCTGATTGCGGTGCTCGACGAAAATTCAGTCACTCCGCCAGACACTGAAAACGTGGTATTTCGTGGCTGAAGGCCCGAGAGAGATACCCATTATATATATATATTTTGTTCCACGGAGTTGAATAAGTTTATGTGCACGAATTCACTGACGATTTGTAGCAAAAACACTGTAAATATTTGTAGGTGACATATCATCATACTGGCTTAACGCATTTTTATGATAATTAGATTACCTTATGAAGATTTATGTATATGTAACTTAGATATGTATTTAGTCATATATACTAATATTAATAAAATAAACGCATAAATGCAAATTTCCAATTGTTTCTCTTCGGACGCTGACTCATGTCGTCAAGGTAATTTAAACTTTATTAATAAAACCCGTATTCGTTGTTTCCTGAAAAATAGTGATTGAGGAGAGAATTCAGAACTACGCTTGTAAACACAGAGAAGACAGACACTGATGAGTTTGCGGTCTGTTGTAAGGGTCTGGTTTTCTCCGTATTCTGAACAACAACAAATATATTTACCTAGTTATTTTTCCCTTATTATCTTTTCACGTTCAGTGGAATATTCAAGTATTTAAAATAATAATAAAAAAACTGCCGGATATTTTGTGCACCATAATACATAATATTTTGTGTACCGGAATACATGAACCTTATCATGCATAAAGGTGCATCTTGCCACCAGGCCGGTAACCTTGACCGCTCAGTGCATCTCACCATCAAGGCCAATAGCCTTGACCGCTCAGTGCATCTTGCCACCCAGCTCGGTAGCCTTCACCGCTCAGTGCATCTTGCCACCAGGCCGGTAGCCTTGACCGCTCAGTGCATCTTGCACCCGGCCTTGACCGCTCAGTGCATCTTGCACCCGGCCTTGACCGCTCAGTGCATCTCGCCACCAAGCCGTTATCCTTCAATTATTAGTGTATAACGCCAGACACTTTTCCCGGCCACACATAACAACATGAAGGCAACTAGTTCGCCAGAGTGCCACAGGCGGAAGCACAGGGAAGGAAGCCACGCTGGCACCAACTACTCCAATACTTCAATATATATACACTAAACGTGCCTGTAGCTCTGTGTGGTGAGTGGAAGGATAACATGAAAACTGAACTACTGCACATCAGAAACTGTGTAATATATAAGAGCACAGTTTTGGTTACCGAGAAACGATCAAACAATATGACTTTCCAATCAATGCCTTCACGTATGAACACTTTTTAAATACTTCATTTTATTGGCAAATATACATATAGGAGTTAGACTTGTGTTCATATATGGTACATTTAAAGCTGCCTATCACTGTCAATACTGTGCCGTTGATATAATTGTTCTGGTTGCCCACAGCCTGTCTGGACGGAGAGGAGCGCAAGCCCGCAGGTATTCAACACCTCTCAATTACTCCTGTTGTCTGGCTTCTTTTCAGCTCGTTGTGATTTTGAGTTTTAGTTTAAATTTCAAAGTTTTTTGTTTTTAGTTCACGCTCAGCATGTGTGGCTGAAGCCTCCCCACCTCTGCATGTTTTCGAAAAGGAATATTTTAATTTTGTATTCTAGAGCACACGCACTTATTATTTTAACCGCTGATTTCCTAGAGTGTTATTTTCAGTAGGTTTTATAAACCCTTATCAAATTTGAATATTTATTATGTTTGTATATGTTGTGGTTAAGCTGTTAGCAGCTAGCCATGGAATTTCATTTAAGTTATTATATAAAAAAATGTAAACAAACTTTGATCTAACCCACCACCTCCTCCAAGTATCAGACCCATAACTGGTATGACATATTGATGATCCAAACTACCTGCAATTAACTTTTCATATAGAGCCAACCAGTGACAGCCAATCCACACAATCCAGGTGATATCAAACAAGGAAACGCTAAAAATATCGAAACATAAACTCATTTAAGGAAAATTTATCATTGACAACTCAGGATTGATAAACATGGAGGACTTGAGCAAGGAAAAACTGTCGGGGTCACAGATTTCACGAAGCTGATAATAAGGAACTAAGGCCGGAACTGAGGCATGTAAACTGGGCAGCTGTACAGAGGAAGGGTAGACTGGGCACCATTGAGAAGAGAAGGTAGGGTAGACTGTGTACACACTGTCCAAATGTAACAGGTGCCCGAGGTTGGGTATAACAAGACCCAAGTGTGAATAGGAAGTTAATAGAAACCGTCGGCTGTAATTCTCGCTGCCCAATTGAGTCTTAACTTACTCTGGTGTCACTCACATGTGTGAATATATTTACTCAATCATGCCAGTCATATAAATGTATTAACCCACATGGTCCACCTTCGTCAACATGTCCCGCCCTCGTCGACACGTCCTGCCCTGGTCGACACGTCCCGCCCTGGTCGACACGTCCTCCCCTCGTCGACACGTCCTGCCCTGGTCGACACGTCCTGCCCTGGTCGACACGTCCTGCCCTCGTCGACACGTCCTGCCTTGGTCGACACGTCCTGCCCTGGTCGACACGTCCTGCCCTTGTCGACACGCCCTGCCCTGGTCGACACGTCCTCCCCTCGTCGACACGTTCTTCTCTAATATTTTATTTTTTATTTCTTTTTATTATAAATACAAGAATTCTTACATTCTTGTACAGCCACTAGCACGCGTAGTGTTTCGGGCAAGTCCTTAATTCTATGTTCCCCAGAATACGACCCCGCCAAATCGTTTAAAAATAAGGCACCCATTTTATTGTTGGGTAAACAGAGGCTACCGTTAAGGATGGGCACCCAGTAAATCCTCCACTGCCAGGATACGAACCAAGGACAAATCGACACATCCCTCCCTTCTCTACACGTCCCACTTTCGTCAACACGTCCTGCCATTGTCAACACCTTCCTCCCTCTGAAGAAGTAACTTCCTCACTGAACAATATCATCCACAGTCTATACTCTTCAGCAAAACAATTTCAACTCAAAGAAGACAAAGTTATCGGCAAGTTAGGAGGAGGCGACCTCCTTGGCAGGCAGAATGGTCGCCCTTCTCATTCTAACAGTACAACTGGCCATGACTCAACAAACGCTTCACTTTACCCAATTTTAAATGAAAACATGAAACGTAAACGATGAGAACAGCGCTATTGCATTAAACATTAAATGTTAGAAAGGCGGGATTTTTGAGCTGACATTCGAACTTGCAAATACATCAAATCTGGGTGTGTAAACACACACCCACACACGATACAAATAGTAAATACACACAAACAACAACAACAACATACGAAGCCCGCACTTTCACTGAACCTGACGGCACTGAAGGGAGACACAATTGGGACATTCGAAATACTATGGGAAATCGATAGGGTAGACAGTGACAGACAATTTAACTTGAGAGAGGTTCACATTGGGCGGTGGTTTATAAGAAGAACGCTTTCCATGTCAAGTTAGTACAGATGTGGAATGAACTTAGAAGTAAAGTGGTGGATATGAAATAACTCATAGTGGTAGAGAACCAGTTGATTGAAGTTGGAGAGGCGAGACCCAAAAGCAGAAACTCTACTCTCGCTAGCGTAGCTAGGCGAGTACACGAACCCTTTATCTCAACCCTCAACGTACATACACGCACAATTTGCTACCCCTGGTAGTGATCCCTCGAATCCTATTTTAGGAACTCTCTTTAATAGTCAATTTTTACGGTGTATGGATCTCTTTCCTCCGCCTTTCCCCTCTACTCTTACAGCTTGTATATCATACATTTCTCCCTCCATTCTTCTAGCCATCTCACACCATTATCTCACACACTAATTATATATATATATATATATATATATATATATATATATATATATATATATATATATATATATATATATATATATATATATATGCGAACAAGCCTGAATGGTCCCCAGGACAATTGACGAGGACTTCTGGGGTGTGAGTTTTAATATATATATATATATATATATATATATATATATATATATATATATATATATATATATATATATATGCTATAATATGCTTGTGTGCGAGTCCGGTACGTTTCACCACGTTTAAAGAAATATAATAAAAGTTGGCATAATGGTAGTGTCTGAGAAGAGGATATAGGCTGTAAGCTGGTATTTCAAGAGGCCCTTAAAAAACGAAATTCTGAGTCACGGAGAATCCCCTGGGGCCAGCATCGTGGGGAACCCCTAGGGCCCGGGTCCTGGAGGGCTCTCACAACCTGCGGAATGCAGTAATCAGAGAACACTGAGAGGGGACAGCAGTAATAAAGACACTGCGCATGAACATCACCTGGTAGAAGCGCAGCGTGAAATCGTATGTCGTGTGCATCTTCACCCAAAAGAAGATCGTGAACAGTTAGGATATTCGCCTGGGGTGAAGGTCATGTATATTGTTAATATTGAATGTACTGCATGTTTAAGATCTTCACCCAAACGTGCATAATGTAGATTGAATGTAGTGATGATGCACACTGATGGCGACTTTGTGTTAAGACGTAACTCATGAAATGCGTGTTTTCAGGGTACTCCGGGGCCAGTTCTTAGGGTCCACCGGGCCGATTCTCGGGGTACACCGGGGCCGGTTCTTAGGGTACACCGGGGCCGGTTCTCGGGGTCCACCGGGGCCGGTTCTCGGGGGTCCACCGGGGCCGGTTCTCGGGGTCCACCGGGGCCGGTTCTCGGGGGTCCACCGGGGCCGGTTCTCGGGGTCCACCGGGGCCGGTTCTCGGGTTACACCGGGGCCGGACTCAGAGTTTACACTCTGGGGATGCCAGGTATACAATATCAAACATGTGCGTCTCCCTTCCCAATCTCCCACTTCTCTCACACAATATACATGTTATTAACGACCTCTTCCCCGCTGTTTTTCCCCACTCCATTTATCACATATTATGGCCCCTCACATCGTTTACTGCGCCTAGGTGTGTGTCGGAGTATCTCGTAAGTCCTGGTTATCATCTGCTTTATTTAATTTCTTTCCCTTCTTTTTCCATTTTTTGTTTTACCTGTTATTGTGGCTGTTAATTCTCGTTTGTGTCTACCTTGTATCAGTATTTATTGTAGTTCATTTTGGCTATTACTCTTCGCTCCCCATCCCTATTACTATTTACCTCGGTTTAATATCACCATTAGTTAAGCATTATTTTATTTTATTGCGTAATAATTCATGTGTAGTTTAGCCACGTGGCCGTAATCAACGCAGCTCCGCGTCTCCTTAAATCATACCAACAACTGCACAAGATTATATATACAGCCTCTAGACTTTCAGACGCGCGGTAAAGCTTATTTACCCAGACGAACTCTATACTGTAGTATACCTTGTTAGCTGCCAGGAGGAGGCTTATCCCTACTCCTCTTCCTCCACCTCATCTATCATACACTTCTACTCCTCCTCTGTTCACAGAGACAGACACCCGGAACCACAGTCCATTGATCCCGTGGCCTGTCACTCTACACTGCCTCACCTACTTCACATATTCGATTATATGCTCATTTATTTACACTTTTAACACTGTTTTACAGTTTTTCATTCCCTAGTGTTTACGCTGAGATGTTTCGGGAGGCTGCAATACCTTCTTCGCTCGACCTCTGCACATCACTCTAGCTGACGTCATGAGTAGTCAGACTGTTTCATCTAGCAGTTCCGGGGCCTGTAACTGTATTGGACCGAAACTTGGTTGTTCAGGGATCCTCGGGAGAAGTTGTTGAGTTTCCTCTTGAAGATACTTAAACCATATTTGGTAATTCCGATCATATCTGGAGGCAGAGTATTCAAATTCCTTCAGGCTTTGAATCTTCCAGTGTTCGTATGGAACGTTTTATATTATAATACTTTGCGCACCTTCAACGCCTCCTTCTCCAGCGAGGAAATAGTTTAATGTGGTGTCATTCTGAACCCATTTTTCTCTAGAATTTAGTTATGCATCATAATAGGATGTGCTTCAGGCAGCACACTTATATATTTAAACTTTTATTGACACCATCAGTTTGCTGTTCGATTTTCTTTAGCATTATTATATGCTTATTTTAATACTCTGTTATAGACCCATATCTTTAATCATCAAGAGATATGGACTCCTATTTATATGGATCATTAGTTATGGACTCTCATCTTTATGGATCATTAGTTATGGACTCCCATCTTTATGGATCATTAGTTATGGACTCTCATCTTTATGGATCATTAGTTATGGACTCCCATCTTTATGGATCATTAGTTATGGACTCTCATCTTTATGGATCATTAGTTATGGACTCCCATCTTTATGGATCATTAGTTATGGACTCTCATCTTTATGGATCATTAGTTATGGACTCCCATCTTTATGGATCATTAGTTATGGACTCTCATCTTTATGGATCATTAGTTATGGACTCCCATGTTTATGGATCATTAGTTATGGACTCCCATCTTTATGGATCATTAGTTATAGACTCCCATCTTTATGGATCATTAGTTATGGACTTTTATCTTTAGTATTCAATGTTAAATCTGTTCTTGTATTATTCCCTGACACCAAAGCTCCACGAAGATCTCTGAACAATTAGTGACTCACATTCATATTTCCCCTCAACAAGAGACACTCGCCTCCTCGCATCAATTTCCCCGCTGGTTTATACCGCCATCAACTCAAGAGCGGCGGTCTCTCCTTGCTTTAATAAATAACTGTTCAGCAGATTAGTGTAGTTATCCTTTACCCGGCCTGCCACCCGGCCTGCCACCCGGCCTGCCTTTTCCCGGCCAGCCACCCGGCCAGCCTTCTCCAGGCCTGGCCGGGTGGCCAGGCCTGCCACCCGGCCTGCCACCCGGCCACCCTTCATATCCTCATACCTCACTTCCCTCCCTTTCCTTTCCTCTACACCTTCCCTCCGTCCTCCATTCTCTCCCTTCCTCCCTATCTCTAATTTATCATGGCATTAAATTACGTTTAATTAGTATAATGTTAACGACCGAAATATAATTTTTTTTATATCTTAAAACATACTTGTGAGAGAGAGTATACCTCTCGGGCTAAATATAACATTAGACGGTCATACCTTTCACCTTAACCTTCATGTATTATATATTTTTAGCTATATATTTTTATATTTAATGTAAATCTGTGTGTCAGGAATGTAAATTCAGAATGTTTGGAATTTCCTTTAGCACCAAAAAGTCCCGTTTATATACGGCGTGAGCTTCGTTTTCTGGGCGTCTTTTTCGCTCTCTTTCCTCCTGCCTTCGTCTTCACCAACAATGGTAGGGCTTGTTGGAGCTCTACCATTGTTGGAGAGCTCTATCATTGTTGGAGAGCTCTACCACTGTTGGAGAGCTCTACCACTGTTGGTGTATCTGTTGGAGAGCTCTACCACTGTTGGAGAGCTCTACCACTGTTGGAGAGCTCTACCACTGTTGGTGTATCTGTTGGAGAGCTCTATCACTGTTGGTGTATCTGTTGGAGAGCTCTACCACTGTTGGAGAGCTCTACCACTGTTGGTGTATCTGTTGGAGAGCTCTACCACTGTTGGTGTATCTGTTGGAGAGCTCTACCATTGTTGGAGAGCTCTACCACTGTTGGTGTATCTGTTGGAGAGCTCTACCATTGTTGGTGTATCTGTTGCAGAGCTCTACCATTGTTGGAGAGCTCTACCATTGTTGGAGAGCTCTACCATTGTTGGAGAGCTCTACCATTGTTGGAGAGCTCTACCACTGTTGGAGAGCTCTACCATTGTTGGAGAGCTCTACCACTGTTGGAGAGCTCTACCATTGTTGGAGAGCTCTACCACTGTTGGTGTATCTGTTGGAGAGCTCTACCATTGTTGGTGTATCTGTTGCAGAGCTCTACCATTGTTGGAGAGCTCTACCATTGTTGGAGAGCTCTACCATTGTTGGAGAGCTCTACCACTGTTGGAGAGCTCTACCATTGTTGGAGAGCTCTACCACTGTTGGAGAGCTCTACCATTGTTGGAGAGCTCTACCACTGTTGGTGTATTTGTTGGAGAGCTCTACCACTGTTGGTATATCTGTTGGAGAGCTCTACCACTGTTGGTATATCTGTTGGAGAGCTCTACCACTGTTGGTGTATCTGTTGGAGAGCTCTACCACTGTTGGAGAGCTCTACCACTGTTGGAGAGCTCTACCACTGTTGGTGTATCTGTTGGAAAGCTCTACCATTGTTGGAGAGCTCTACCATTGATGGTGTATTTGTTAAAGTAAAATAGTATGTTTCGCAAGAAACAGATATGTGGTTTTAGAAAGAATATGTACATTTGCTTTGATGGTACACCCATCCAATTTGCGTCCTTGTTCATGGCAATGAAAGCAATGATTGGGTTGTGGGAAGTATTTTCTCCCTTTCAAAGACAGTGTTTCAATGTTTATTCCGTTTAAAACGTTGTTGAAGTGAAAGTTATGATTGCCACATATTTTCTGACTGCAGCTTCTATAATTCCAGGGAATGTATTTGAACAAATTTTTGATGTTTGTGATTTGTAATGTTCGTGGGGATCTTGGTTGAATCTATAAGAATGTCTGTTTTCTGTCCAAAAGTTGGGTGCCAGATGTTTTGGGCTAGTCTCACCCAACTTTGCAGGGGAAATGGTCTGGGGTACGGGACGGTCATAGACGGATCGAGATCGGCCTAAGTTAATAGCCTTGGATTTGACCATTTGAATTGACTTTTATCTACACGTTTTTCAGTGTGCATTATGTTTACAGCAGGTAATGCTGTAGTATCTCTTGCCAGGTCCTCATATGTCTTGGTTGATATAATACTGACTCTCTTCAGCTTTGTTATTGTATGTTATGTGCCATAAGGGAGTCATGTTCTGAAAAAGGAACTGAGTGTTCCTTTTTCCACTAGGAATATGTTGTCCTTAAAACTCGCTGACGATACTGGTTTGTGAAAGTTAGTGTTCTGTCTTTCTTATGTCTTTCAAATCCTCGTTTGTTATTTTAACAGATTTAAGAGTAACTAGTTTTGCAAAATGTTTAGTATGTGTTAGTTTCTTCGTTATATATCTTACAAATTCTTTTCAGTTCATATATCCAAATGGTTTTAGGATCTTGTGGAAAAAAATAACATCACCGACGTTTTTTTTTTTTCTGGATATACAATGATTCCTGGTCAAGGCAGAAACAAATGGCCAGAATTTCTTTCACCTGATATTCCTGTTCACCTAGCAGTAAATATGTTCCTAGGAGTTAGGTAGCAGCTAGGGCTTGCATCCTGGGAGATGTGTATGTGTGTGTGCGTCTAACTACCAGGTACCTACTTACTGCTAGGTAAACAGAGGCACCAGGGTGAAAGAAACTCTGCCCATTTATTTTTGCCTGCCGAGGATCGAACCCGGGCCCTTAGTACTACGACCCCAGAGCGCTGTCCACTCAGCCCCCAAATATTAATGTGTGTGTGTGTGCTCACCTAATTGTGCTTGCGGGGGTTGAGCTTTGGCTCTTTGGTCCCGCCTCTCAACCGTCACTCAACATGTGTACAGGTTCCTGAGCCTATTGGGTTCTATCATATCTACACTTGAAACTGTGTATGGAGTCAGCCTCCACCACATCACTTCCTAATGCATTCCATTTGTCAACCACTCTGACACTAAAAAAGTTCTTTGTAATATCTCTGTGCCTCATTTGGGCACTCAGTTTCTACCTGTGTCCCCTTGTGCGTGTGCCCCTTGTGTTAAATAGCCTGTCTTTATCTACCCTATCAATTCCCTTCAGAATCTTGTGTGTGTGTGTGTGTGTGTGTGTGTGTGTGTGTGTGTGTGTGTGTGTGTGTGTGTGTGTGTGTGTGTGTGTGTGTGTGTGTGTGTGTGTGTGTGTTTTAAAGAAATATGTAGTAGATATGATAGAAGAAAAATATTTGCAGTCAGTGCATTTTATAATCGACGGTTAGAAAGCCGGGGTCCAAGAGCTGACGGCTCGATCCTGCAGGCATAAAAAGTAAACACAAAGCGTAAATACGCACACTAATCATGCTACTCTATCACGGCAATTCCTCTGTAAATCGCCCATCATCAATTTGCGTGAATTACTACCATCCAATCATCGTTCACGCCGGCACAATGAGTTGATAGATCAATTACTGTATTGTCGTTTGCACCTGTGTAACCACCCCAGCCAGCACTGTGTTGATGTGCACTTGTGTGATCCCCACACACACTGTGTTGATGTACACCTGCATGACACCCACATATACTGTATTGATGTGCACCTGTGTGACCCCCAGTAACTACTCTTGGGACAGGTGTAAAGGCCAAGCAAAAAACTGCTCCCACACAGTCTCTCGACCCCAGAAAAATATAACAAAAATGACACTACAAAAAATGTAACCAAAGTGACCTGATATTTACGTATATAATATTATTTTTGTTTATGTGGAGGGTTCTGGACAATACTTTCCCCTCCTACAGAAAACCCTTGTATTACTGTTCCTCTCCAACACTTCTCTGGGGTTGGCACTCCTGGGAAGGTGGGCGGGAGTGTTGGCACTCCTGGAAAGGTGGGCGGGAGTGTTGGCACTCCTGGGGAACAAGTTCCTCTGTGTCCATCATCTTCACTTCTACACAATCCAGTAACACTTCGCTCATCCTTCCTCTAAACTCCCACCACACGATTCACCCCTGACACGGCTGCCCCTGCCACCACATCGACCCCCTTCGCCAGCCTTCCTGCTGCCTCCCTACCCCCGTAGCACCCTCTCCTCACTCACACGTCTCCTCCCCGGCCAGCCCCCGGCGCCCCGGAGTTCCTGGCGGAGGAGTGCGTCGGGGAGAACAACAGCGTCACCGCAACGTGGACGCCGCACCCCACCTCCAGGGTGGCTGGGTATATCCTGGAGATTGACGACGGAGACGGAGAGTTCAAGGTAACGGGAAAGTGTGTGTGTGTGTGTGTGCGTGTGCGTGTGTGTGTGTGTGTGTGTGTGTGTGTGTGTGTGTGTGTGTGTGTGTGTGTGTGTGTGTGTGTGTGTGTGTGTGTGTGTGTGTGTGGGTGTGAGGGGGGGGGGAGGGGTGTTGTAAGGGATTGTGCTGCTCGAGTGGGTGGAGAGATGGACGGCTGATTCGTTATGTGAATTAAAAGAAATAATATTAGAATGGATATTAATAAGAAACGGGAAGTAATGAATTTGTTATTAAAAAAGTTGACAATAAACAATATTCACTTTGTAACTTGCTTTTAATGTGTGCATAGAACACCTCACCATCCACAAGGACACATGGGTAACACCTCACCATCCACACGGACACATGGGTAACACCTCACCATCCACACGGACACATGGGTAACACCTCACCATCCACACGGACACATGGGTAACACCACACCGTCCACAAGGACACATGGACAACACCACACTTCAGGAGAAGGAGGAGGAGGAGGATCTCTGCAGTAACTGGAGTGCACTCTCACCACAGGAGGTGCACCGGGGGCCGGAGACGCTGTGCACGGTGGAGGGCCTCCACTTCAACACCGTCTACCACCTGAGGGTTCAAGCTTATAATATCTCCGGCGTGTCTCCGTACTCGGCGCCAGTCGCCATCAGGACCTCCGCCAGTGAGTGCATCATGACCTTACTTTACTTTGCGATGATTTCGGGGTTCAGCGTCCCCGCGACCCGGTCCCCGACCAGGCCTCCTGGTGACCGGAGGTATACGCTGCGTACCATCAGCCAGTAGGTGCGAAAACCTGCTAATTGACGAGTGAAAACATATTTGTATATAAATGCACGTCATTGTTGTACCCAAAATGCTATCCACTACATACCAACGCGCAAGTGGGTACAAAATAACTAATACAGCAACAAACCAGCATATCCAAACTAGAATGTTTGCTCAAAGCCTACGGTACACAAAGTTACAAACACTGTACAACGCTGATTTGAAGAGAAGCGCTTATATCTGTAGTTAAATGCATACACGGTATTACATTGAATTTTATTATTTAGCTGTCTGTTCCATATGATTACTGCTTCATTAAAGAAAAAGTATTCTGGATCGTTGGAGTGAAACTGTTTGCCTGTAATTTTAAAGTCATTGTTACGAGCGACGTTAGACTATGCAAAATTAAAGTTTTTTTCTGAGTCAAGATTATGACTTGTAATGATCTTAAATTATTGAATTTAAAACATCTTTTAGTGATCAATAACATCCTTTCAATGCTCTTCTAAACGAGCCTCGTGTGATTTATTGGTCTTGGTATAATATTTTTTCGGTACTGAACACTTAATTTGTCAATATTCTTTCTTAAAAAACGATGACCAAGACTGTCCAGTACTCTAGAATAGCAAGTACGCAGGAATTCTAAACAGTGAGAATTACTTCTTTCGATCATGACTAGAAAGATCTCCCATTAGAACCGAATATTGTATTTGATTTCTTACACCCTCAGTGTACTGGTTACTTTGCTTCAGATCATTAACCACTAATGCTCAGAGGTCTCTACTCATCAACTGCATTGTTCACTTAGCGCCTTGCCTTTTTTCCATTATGTATTAATTTATATTTGTTAGCATTAAAACATCTCCGCCATTTGTCAGACTAACTAACAAAAGTGTTTAAGTAGGTTTGTAGACTTTGTTTCTCTCTTCCTGTTGTATCTATACTTCCGAATTTTGTGAAATGTTTTAATTATAAAAATATGAAAAAAGTTATTATCACTGTCATTTGCATAAATAAAAAACAAAGCTAGTCCCAAGGCTGACCCCTGCGATACGCCACTTGTAACTTCTAGCCAACCTGACGCATTTCCATTTAGAATTGCATGTTAGCATCCAGATAATCATGTTTAAGTTGTTTGGAAAACTGGTTATCTGTTCCATATATGTTTTTTTTAATGTAATCTTCAGTGAGGGACTTTATCAAATGTTTTCTGAATATGCAGATATATACTCTCTACCATGGACACCTTGCCACCTTGCTTTTGTTGAACAAATCCAAAATATAAAGAAATAAAACAGATTTATCAAGCTAGAACAATTTATACAAAAGTTATACCTGGATTTTTCCTCTAAATGATGTCTTTTTATATGTTGCCCAATGTGGTTATAGGTTTCCATGAGTACCAACTACCGACGTCAAACCGATAAGCCGATAATTACGAGGCAAAAGCCTTATATCGTATTTTATATTTGGTGTGACGTCTGCAAGCTTTCACTCTTGGTACTGTTCCTGTCTCAAGTGACTGAAAAATATGATCAAAGGTGTCACAATATATATTTTTAGCTTACTTTAATAATCTGGAAGAAAGGAGGCCTAGTCAGAGACCAGGCCGCGGGGACGTTGATCCTCGGTACCAACGGAATGTAACCGCAAGTTGAGTCTATTTTGTTTAGAAATTGTAATAAATCTAAGGAAGTTATGATCATTGTTTAGTAATGGCAATGGTATGCAGATTCGTCTAATCACTCCTTCCCCACGTTCTTCAATCTATGGAAATCGGCCTTTAACATTTCTGGTACTCTGGTCTTTTACATAACTTTTGCATGTTATTAAATCAATATTTTTTGTGATTACTATTTTCAAATTCGATCCCTATTTCGATGATGTTTAGTATTATCTCTCTGTTGGATATAACTACATTTAATATAATGTTTTCGTGTCTTGGCTCCACAAAATACTGTTTAACCCGTTCGCAACTATAATCGACTTTATTCCAAGTGACTAGAAAAGCGACCCAACTGCAAATTTAGGAAGTCTTAAGCAAGTACAAAGGTATTCTTAGGTCATCTTGCTAGCATTTTAATTTTGCCTCGTTCTCGTCCTTTTATGACTTAATCTCTTGCTCTCTGGTTCCCATTTCCCACCGGATATCTTTCATCCCACTTCACATTTAACACAACACAAATCACAAATAATAATTATAATGCCGATATGATCATCACTGCTAATGTGCATCCGTCTTCCCGCCCTTGGTACAGCGGCGTGGTTCTCGTTGGACCGAGCTCTCTCCCACCCTGAGTGCCGGCTGGTGGGTGACGGTGCAGGAGCCACCTGTGAAAGCTACCAGCACCGCGTTGCCCTCGCCTCCGTCGGGTTCTCCAGAGGTCGTCATTACTGGCAGTTCACCGTCGACTCGTACGATGCCAACGCTGATGTCGTCTTTGGTGTCGCAAGGGCCAACGTGGACAAAGAGGGCATGTTGGGTAAGTGTTTTTGTGAACGATGGTGAGTATTCAGGTGGCCAATGATGGGTGATTTGGTGGACGAGGTGAGTGTTTGGGTGGACGAAGGTGAGTGTTTGGGTGGACGAAGGTGAGTGTTTGGGTGGACGAAGGTGAGTGTTTATATAGACAACGGCTGTATTTCATTCACCCTGGTTTCATCTCCTGAGCGTTTCTTGTCTAAGCTATGATGTCTATCAGTATCTGTACCACCACAGTTATCCTTCATTCAAACTCCTCAATTTTTCTTTCCATACAAGTAGTTATATTTTCTTCTTCCCTCGTTTGTTCTTCTAGATTTCTCTTTATTTTTGTGTCCATTTATTTCACATTCCATGTCCTCCTTGTCTATCCTATTTGTTCGTCTGCATTGCTCATTGTCGTAGTAGTTATCATATACGTTTTTGCCCTAATTCTATTTTCCTCTGTTTAATCTTCCATTCTTCTCTCTCGGCATATTTGCCAATAATATTAATGCAGTGTTCGCCTCTTTGCAGCTGCAACACTGTGGCAGGCCACCTTCCCCTATTAGCTCTGCTGTTGAATCCTTTCGTTGCATTAGTATCAGAAAGACTAACCATTTTGTTTTGCCTTGACTTGCTTATCTCTGTTAGGTAATGAATAGTGAAGCTGCAGCTGCAATTCGGGCTGATTCGGTGGAGTTGCTTGGTCCCTTAGTTTACCCCGTTCTCGTTATTTGCCACAATGTACAATACACAAAGTGCTAACCTAAACTAACCAGAAACAAAAGAATCTTTGTCACCCACCTAACCTAACCAACCGATGCTTAGAAAACATAGATTTTTTTGAGCCGCTATTTTTCATAGTACTTTGTAAATTGTGCGTTGGGGACCATAATGTACAAATCAAAGACACGTCAGTGCAGAGGACGGATTGCTCAGTTAGTGCGTCTGGCAGTCAGTCCTGTCCTTGTCGGCCGGCGTTTACAAACAAGCCGGATTCCTTTTTGTCACTATTTATCATATAAGTTATTCATTTACATTTTCTCTTTATTCAGTCTTTTTATTTAATCCTTGCGTATTATTCAGAACATTTTCAGGGCGGCATGACGTCTGTATTCATGCAGTGGCCAACAAAAGCCTCAGAGTGCCTGGGTATGGCACTATGTGTGTATTTGTGTGCAAAACTTTTACGGGCGCTAATCTAATTATTATTGCTATAGAAAACGCTGAGCGTAATTAGTGGTTTTATAAGAACAATAAACGCTAAATGTTCTGAACAATCATTTAACATTGTCACATTGTCACGTGTACTATGCTCTTTATCGAATAATAATTGATTGATTGAATACAACTATGCAGTTTTATAGTGGCCACTTTTGAAGTCTCCAAATTTCTAGTGACCATTGTCGTAGTCAAGTCCAGTGGTCAAGTACAGTGACCAGCTTTACAGTAACCAGTTATACAGTGACCAGCTTTACAGTGACCAATAAGAAAGACACATTTTACAGTGGTACAATGATGCTGAGATACAATGACTGAGGAAAGTAGTTTTGTTATACACTGAGCAAGATAGTTTTATGCTTAAAACAATACCAGCAATTGCCAGCAACTTAGGATACACCAACATGATAAATGTTCGGAGAAACCTACACAATTACGAGTCTCGTGGCAAACGTATAAACTCGAAAACTTGTAAACTTAAAAGTTGCAAACTTACAGGCTTGCAGACTTACTTGGTGATTTATGGCTGTAGCAGTTGTGACCAAAAGACTAAAGCAGCAGATGAGGGGTAAGGTTTGGTCTTAAAGTGGAGAATAGCCTCCATAACACCTAATCCATCTTCCTTCCCACTCTCCCAGATTATCTCGGTCGGCGTCCACGCGAAGGAATGGAGTTTTGACCTATATTTTAAAGTGTTATTGCTAAAGTTATAGAATTAATGTTGTTTAACTACAAGTATGAAAGTAAAAGTATTATGGAAACCTCAAGAGTTTATCCACACGCAGATTCATCTCCATCTCGAGGCAAATATATATTTGCTCTTGACATTTCTTTTCCCACATGTTCCCTGGAAATGCTTGGCGGAACAAATAGCCAACTGCAACAGCGGCAACTCTAACCTCTCCTGGGGATACTTGCTACAAAATTGCTAGTAATGTAAGACAGTATAAAAACAAAAAAAGTCCATGGCATTCACCGTCGTGTTACATTCAGTCAATTTTTATTCGAGTTGCTCTTCTCTGGAAGCGAATTATTCTCACCTCAAACCTCGCTCATTACCGGCGACTTGCTATCGTTAGTATTGCGGAAATGTGTGATTTATAAGACCGGTGAGTATCGTCTTCATTAGGTTAAATGGGTCTAACCTAATTTGTTTGTATTATATATAATGTTAATGTCTAATTATATGGCACACACAAACACACACACAAACACACACTATACAAGATACTGAAAGGTATTTACAGTTTTATCCCCCTAACTTTACTTCACACAGGGAAAAGCTCGAAACACAATTGTCAGAGACGTAAGAAATGATATACAGAATGATACACAGACTGGTTGGTAGACAAGAGAAATGAAGTGAGAAAGGATATAATGGAGACCTCCATTCACAGCTTAAAGAGCAGGTCCGACATAGGACTGGCACTTGGTAGCTTAGGAGGCAGGATATACTTTTTTTTGGGGAGTAAAGAGGAAGAAGAGGCATAGGTGAAGGGAAGTATAGAAGTGAGAGGTATGAAAGCAGGCGGGCTGTCCGCCTTGCTGACCGGATATATTAAGAAGGATATACTAGCTAGATATATAGGACCGGAATATAAGCTAGGATATATAGGACCGGAAGGATATACTAGCTAGAGCTTACTATGTAGAAACAGTCAGAGAAGCACACACATTGAGCTGACCAATGTCAGAGTGTACGGCAGCGCCGTCATGGTGCCCTCACGTGAAAAAACATATCAGCAAGTTAGGAAGAGAGTCGTGTTTCCAGAGGAGCACCGGAGCTGAAAGGTACGAGTACTCCTGCTATAGAAGATGACAGGACATGGAAGACGTGATAACTAGCTTGAAACAAATCAAGGGAGAGGATAAAATGGATAAGAAAGCTTGAATAACCCCGCCTGCAGCACAACTTGAGGACACACTCTTAAAACAAGAAAAAATATCAGGTGTTAGAAAGTATTTATGTTCCAAGTTGTAGCGAGTTGAAACACTGCCAGACGAGGCTGTATGTGCAAAAAGCACAGAAAACTTTAAGAGTAAATACAATAAATGAGCAAAGGACGACGGAATTTCAAGCTGGAACTCTGTCTACAATTTAGCTGTTTACTCTGTCTACTCTGTCTACAGCATAAACAGGCACGCACGCACGCACACGCGCGCACGCACGCACACACACACACACACACACACACACACACACACACACACACACACACACACACACACACACACACACTTCCATCCCATTGCCATTCATTACCTGTGTGAGGACACAGATCCGAGAGGAGCCACATGCCCCATCCCAGCACCTAACCTGCCCTCCGCCCGCAGGCAATGACGTACACGGGTGGGCCATGTACATCGACCACCAGAGGTCGTGGTTCCTGCACGGGGCGGCGCATCACGGGCGGTATGAAGGTGGGGTGGGCGTGGGCTCCACCGTGGGCGTCCTCCTTGACCTCAACCACGGCACTCTCACCTTCTACGTCAACGACGAACAACAGGTGAGAACTCTTTTCATGTCTTATTCATGACAATTAATATAAAAATATATATTATATGAAATAATGTGTATATTCTTTATACGGTAGGAATACAATAATAAAACGGTAGGGGTGGTAGAAGAAAATACTCCACAGGTGTTCATGGAGAATCTGTAAGGTCTTCTCCAAATACCTTTCATTCTCTTCTCCAAGGCTATGGGTCCCCACAATTGCCCTAGAGGTGTATATATATATATATATATATATATATATATATATATACACACATGTATTCAAGAGAATGTGTGTATGTGTGTTTGTTTGAGGTTGGAGCCCAAATGATTGGGGGTAGCCTCATCAAATTTGGCAGGGTGACAGATGGTTTTGGGGAATTGTCACAGACGAGTTGCGGTCGACCTCCATGCTTCCACTTTGCATGAACTGCCAAATGGCACCAATTTATTGAAGACAATGTATAGCGAAGATGGTTAGAATATTGAAGGATTAGGAAGGTGGTGAAGGGTAGGAAAGGTGAAGGGTAGGAAAGATGGTGAAGGGCAGGAAATATGGTGAAGGGCAGGAAAGGTGGTGAAGGGCAGGAAAGATGGTGAAGGGCAGGAAAGGTGGTGAAGGGCAGGAAAGATGGTGAAGGGCAGGAAAGGTGGTGAAGGGCAGGAAAGGTAGTGAAGCAGGTGTGAGAGAATAAGCTCATGCCACATGTAACTGATGCGTCTCCTCACCACCAGGGCGACGTGGCCTTCACCGACCTGGAGGGCCTCTTCTACCCGGCAGTCAGCGTCAACAGGAACGTGACGGTGACCCTCCACACCTCCCTCGACCCTCCTCACTCCGACTACGACAGCCAATCTGACACCTGAAGGCCCACCATTGTCATCGGCACCCCCTGGCCCACCACCGCCTCAGAACACTTCACGTTACTCTAGTGCTCCCTACATTATCACCCTTGTTATTATTATTATTATTATTATTATTATTATTTTTATTTAAATTTTCGTTTCGTCGTTCAACAAGCGAGCTGCAATATTTTATCGGCATTAAATTGTCTTGATTGAGTTCAAGAGAATTACAACACTCTGCAAGTGTTGTCAACCAACAATCGGATTTCTCAGTGATATTATATATATATATATAATCACTAGTGATATATATATATATGTATATATATCACTAAGTGTGTGCGATACGCGCATGGGAGAGGTAGTTCGGGACGTGAACCAAGAGACAAGAGTAAGTTAACCAACAACGCATCATGACCAAGCAACGTGTCCAACAAATATATATTATATATTTTTTTGTCAGTAAGTTCATACCAGCGTGTGAAACCGCACGAGTGTAAAAGTGTAACTGAAAAAACTAAATGTGCAGGAAAAGAACACAAAAGTTCTGTACGGAAATCACGTGAAAAGTTGGGTGTCGTTCAAAATACTTTACGTTCCCTACTAGTTATGTTAAGGTGTAAGAGAACTGATTTCTGCGTTTTGGTCAGGGAGTGAGTCGTTTCCCCAACGTGTACGCGACAAATCCTGACCATCTCGTATCATTCAGGACTGAGAAAACGTCTATACACGCAAACGACACATCAAAATGCCATACATCTAACGGATATTCATCCCAATGGTCACAATATCAAGATGATCTATGTGATAGGAACTGAGGATTACGAATATTATACCAAGGTACTGAGGAAAAGAACCTGACATGGTTGAGTAAGATCAAAACTACGAGACATGATGACAAGTCAATCCCCAGGTTAAGGCTCGTAACATTAAGGGGACTCAACTAACAAAGCCTTTCACCTGTCCAATGTCACCACAACTGCCAACTCCATTCCAGTGTTTGTTGTTGTTGTCTGCACGCTCGTGAGCACTAGACTACGTCAGTAGGTCAACACCAAATGCCTGTTTTTTTTTCTTTGTAATAAAGTTGATGTTTATACCCCACACACAATGTTCCATTTGGTAGTGAACTGCAATTATGAACACCAATAAATGACCCCATTGTGGAGAGAACAATGTTGGGTGCAGGGTTTGCCTGCCAGATTTTATTAGAAAAATTAAAAAATGTAATTTTGAACGTATATAAATAATAATGGGGCTTTATATACTTCATGTAGAGCCACTCGGAGGTCGTGGGTGCTGTGCACTATAAGTGATGAACCTTTGTACAGTAGTTAAACCATCCACACTCACCACCACCACACACTCACTACCACACACTCACCACCACACACTCACCAGCACACACTCACCACCACACACTCATCACTACACTCACCAGCACACACTCACCACCATACATTCACCACCATATTCTCACCTCCATGCACTCACCACCACACACTCACCACAACACACTCATCACTACACTCACCAGCACACACTCACCACCATACATTCACCACCATATTCTCACCTCCATGCACTCACCACCACACACTCACCACCACACACTCACCACCGCACACTCACCACCATGCACTCACCACCACACACTCACTTCGACAACCCTCCCTCATCAATAAATACCTGTATCAAAACAGGGGAATCACAACTTGCAAAGTAATCGAAAAATCCAGAAACAATGAGTACAAATTTACGCCAGCTACAAAAAACAAAATATGGGATGATCCAGGCATCAAATAGAATAAGAGGTGATCCATGCGTAGACAATAGTATTCAACTCAGGTGTAATGAAAGGTTCCGGTGGGCTTAATTCTCGACTAAGTTGCGCCCAGGTATCATCACGTTTGGAACTGAAAGGTAGAATGGGTAAAAGCAGACATAACCAGGTCTGCGTCTGGCGCCATGCTATACAAGACCTCACGGGCAGGTCTGCGTCTGGCGCCATGCTATACAAGACCTCACGGGCAGGTCTGCGTCTGGCGCCATGCTATACAAGACCTCACGGGCAGGTCTGCGTCTGGCGCCATGTGATACACGTCCTCATGACAAGGTCTGCCTCTGGCGCCACATACCCTACTGCAGCGCCATATATCCTGGCCAGACCCTGACGGTTTTGTAAGCAATTATTAGAAACAAATAACTCAACACAGCAACTAGCAAGCACCTGACATGTAAATACGGCTGGGGTATATTATTTTTCTAAGTTACTTATATAATAATAAGAACTAATGATCATGATAAAGCAACTATTCATCTAATAATAAATCAGAAATGTAGAGTTTCTACAAAAAAATCTTAAATATTAAAGCATTTTCACCTTGGAGAAACGTATTCAATGAATTGAAAATTAAACAGATTTTTTGTAAATCCATGAACGAGCATATTTACTATAATATATATATTTAACTGATGTGCTTTTCAACGCCTGAGTCCTCAGAGAATTGCATAAACTCTGTCACGTGTACCAACACTGTGCGCTGTTGGCTATGTTGGTGAAGCTCCTTTCACACAATAGAGTAATATTTCATCAGAACACGTGTGATTAGTGTTCATTTAAAGAATTAAATGTTGGAAATTACTTAAAGATTGCAAATTTTATTTATTAACGTAATTTTTTGTTTTTTTTTTAGGGCTAAAATGGGTTTCAATCAAAAACGCATTAAATATTGCAAAATGTCATGTCATTACTTCAATTGATCTTCATTTACAAAGCTTTAATGTAAATCAAATTTAAGAAAAAAATTAATTGCAATAATTTTCGGTTACAAGTCAAACTGCAAGACAATATACCTGATAAATAGTTCAACCTCAAGCGTGTACAGTTAAGCTGTGGGCAAGAAAGAACTGGAGCAAATTTAATAACCTCTCAAGTACTCTCCTAACACTAGGATACAACATGGCGGTGTCAGTACTCTCCCTACATTGAGATGAGGCAGAGTAGATCCAGTACTCTCACTTCTCAGAAGTACGGGAGAGTAGCGCCAGTACTTGTCCTCTTGACCCTGTGTACAGTCCGTGTTATCCTTGGTAAGTATAAGGACCCCCGCGACTCGCCTCACACACCTCCTCCGTTACCCACTACATCACAACACTGTAAATATTCCCAACCTCCAACACAGATGTCCAACACCTATCATAGCTTCTCCCATACCTAATACAGCTCCCTAATGCATCGATCGGTTCCATTATAAAGTTTGACTTTTTGACATTGTTTCTACCCTTCCCTTTACAAACAAAAATAATATATTTTTTCTGGATTAACATGTCCTGTTTTTCTTCGACTACTTTGACAATAAACTTTAGGCAGGGTTATATCATCAGAGTATTAATATATAAGTCGGTTTCTAAATACGTTTTCCACTTTTATAAACATAAATGCGGATTATTCTCAGCTGTTCCTACTCCCACCTCTTGATCACAAGCCAAAGATTTGTACACGAAGTTTAAAATATGACTTGAAAACAAAGGGAAAATAAACGAAAACCAAAAATCCACGAAGCACAAGTAATTTGCAATAGTGGATTCGTGTCCCTTTTATTTTATATATATGTATATATAATACATGTACTTGAAACACTTTATTCTTAATATCTGTCGTAATCAGTTTACTCTAAAGTGGGTGTGAACTAGAAGGCAGTGCATTAAGCTGCCAGCAGCAGGCGCAGTCACTCAACCAGGCTCGTGCTTAGACTCGCTCCTCTCATCCAGTTAATCATATATTTTATTATCTGGATGTCCCCCTCCCCGTCATTATTGTGTTATAGAGAAATCAGCCTTCACGCGCTGCGCGGACAACCGTAAAACCGTGTTTCTATGGACAGTTGTGGGTAATACAAACGGGTACATCTATCAACAGCGGTAACACAAACAGGTGTATAGTCAACATATGTGGGGGGAAGAGGAGGGTAGGGGGAGAGAAACACCTGTGTTTCAGACTGCTGCTGTGGGAGGAGGGGAAGGGGTGGACACAGACACCTGTGTTCATAAACTGGTACGAGTTCACAATCCTCCACAATCGACTTGAGAATGGTCCAGGACGGACCGAAACGTCGTCGTCCCTTCACCTTCTAGTGTGTGGTCTGGTCAACAAACTGGTACGAGTTCGGACACTCGGGTCATCCGTAGAGTGCAGAAGGTTGTTGCCCTAGACCTCCTCCCTCACCCGCTGGTCACCGCTGGGAAGTACACCCGTTGACTTCAATATGGTGCTCAAGACTAAAATCCTCTCCTTTTGACCAATTCGCCCGTCGCAACCCAAGTCAGTTTGGCGAGGAACCTAGTCACTCCTGATAGCTTATCCGATAAGCCAGCATTGTTCACATCTCCTGTTGGCTTCCCATCGATATTCACAGACTCACCCAACCAACTATCTATCCTTCTCTATGTCACTTCCCATCAACCAATCCTTACAGATAGCTTATCTTTGTCAATCAAATCAGAGGTGATCAAAACTACATAAGAAATTATATACATGGAGAAAACATTAATGTATAATATTGTATTTATGTGTAACTGTACATGTACCGATAGGATTAAGGACACGCAGTATGGATAATCTAGTCTTTATAATCGTGTTTGTAAATGTTATTAACTAATTCTTAAATTAAATCCTACTTTTATTATTCTGTGTTTTATTTAAATCCAAAATAGTCCACAATGATGATATGCAATAAGTATAATACAGCCGCTTTATTATAATAATACAACAGACAGCGTATAATAATAACACGATGTAACACAAGTTTTATTCCTGGGTAGTAAGTGTAAGTTCCTAATTGCTTATGCTTCCAAAGTATAGAAAATGTACAAAATTCACTTCAAACTTTGCTTTGTCCTTTGTCTCAGACAGCTCAGGGAAGACGTCTTGAAGGTACCTCTTTATCTAGAACTGTGACGCATTGTTTCGTAAGTTGGCAGCCTTCCGGTACATTCACAACGTCTTCCCTATGCTGTCTGAGGCAAAGGTCAAAGCAAAGTTTGAAGAGGCGGGAGAGATACAAAATAATTTACTCTTGGGATATACAAGAAGGACTGGTTCTAAATCTGCACACAGAAATAACTCTACTTGAGACCAGGAGGCATGGCAGGATGTGCAGAATAGCCCCGTTCAAATGCAGAGGTGGCATAGGTACGCTGAGACAACTCTATCAACATAAAGGCCCACGAATTTTCAACATTCTCCCTCTATAAATAAGGGGTATAACTAGCCGAACTCTCATGGTGTTCAAGAGAGAACTTGATAAACACCTACAAACGATACCTGATCAACCGGGTTGTGATTCATAAGTCAGGCTGCGAGCAGCTGGGTTGAACTGCCTGGCTGACTGGACGACCAGGAGTCCTGGTCAGAGACCGGGCCACAGGGACGTTCATCCTCGGAATCATCGCAAGGTAGGTGATCAGAGGTATCAGGTGAAAAGAAACGTTAAACAAACGCTTCAGTACTGAGGCGGGGATCGAATCCGTAATCCTGGGCTGTGAGCCGACAACGTAGACTACTGTGTTACAGGACCGTGTGTGTGTGTGTGTGTGTGTGTGTGTGTGTGTGTGTGTGTGTGTGTGTGTGTGTGTGTGTGTGTGTGTGTGTGTGTGTGTGTGTGTGTGTGGCGTCTAACCCACAATTTGCACTGCGCTTCAGGCAAATTTAAACTTAAATTTAGAAATAATTGGAAAACAATCAATATATATTGCTTGCAATATCAATTTAAAACATGTTACATATAAATTAAAACTGCAGCAGCAGCGACAATTCAAGTCAGGTTCAGGTTTTACATTGCTAACATAAACTAAGCTTCACACAACAGTATTGGTAGGTTGAATGGTTACATTTATTTGTACACAAGAATAAAATGGATTTGAGATTTTTTTGGGTGAAATATTTATAAGATAAAAGAGACAAATTACATAAAAAATAAAATTGTACTAAAGTTTTTAAAGACTGAATAAATTCGCTTTTTTTTATTCCAACAGAAAGAACAATAATATTTCGGTATTTTGTGTGGATAAGCGGTGTAAGAGATGAACTTTTACCTCAGCTGCAGGGGGAAGGCTAAGAGCTCTGACCTACCTCAGTTCCCGTTTAAACACTATCCCGAGTATTTTGTCCCAAAACACGATCCGCCAGGCAATTTACATCCAGGTCCCCAATTACTGCAGAGTGCACAGGGGTGAGCAGAGTGAAGAAACTTTGTCTAAATCGTTCCCCATTTTCCAGCACTCCAACACACGACCTCTGGCTTGCCAAGCCTGTGTCCTAGCAAGAAACTTATACTACAGGAGCCCAGATAAATATATAAATACATATTTGAGTATATATTATATATATAACACATATAATGCTCCCTCTCTCTCTCTCTCTCTCTGTCTATATCTCTGTATATATATATATATATATATATGAGAGAGAGAGAGAGAGAGAGAGAGAGAGAGAGAGAGAGAGAGAGAGAGAGAGAGAGAGAGAGAGAGAGAGAGAGAGAGAGAGAGAAAAAGAGAAAGAGAGAGAGAGAGAGAGAGAGAGAGAGAGAGAGAGAGAGAGAGAGAGAGAGAGAGAGAGAGAGAGAGAGAGAGAGAGAAGGAGAGAGAGAAGGAGAGAGAGAAGGAGAGAGAGAAGGAGAGAGAGAAGAGAGAGAGAAGGAGAGAGAGAAAGGAGAGAGAGAGAGAGAGAGAGAGAGAGAGAGAGAGAGAGAGAGAGAGAGAGAGAGAGAGAGAGAGAGAGAGAGAGAGAGAGAGAGAGAGAGAGAGAGAGAGAGAGAGAGAGAGAGAGAGAGAGAGAGAGAGAGAGAGAGAGAGAGAGAGAGAGAGAGGAGAGAGAGAAGGAGAGAGAGAGAGAGAGAGAGGGAGAGAGAGAGAGAGAGAGAGAGAGAGAGGGGGGGGGGGAGGTAGGTTACACAATAACGCCAGGGGACAAGAGGTGAAGAATGACTACACAATAAAGTCAACACTGGAGCGCCAGAGTACCAGCTGCCCAACAACATAAGGACATATTGCCTCAAACTTCAGGCAATTTACATTTCATTTATTCGATAGAAACGAGCAGCAAACGTACACCTGTAGTGTCCCCGATGGAGCCGAAGAGTTCAAACTCACCATAAAAACTCAGCCCAGTCTCAGCGTATTTTTCGTGAAGTTTCTGTGTTTTGTGACGAAACCGCACATCAGAAGACGAAGAGACGACGACGTTTCGGTCCGTCCTGGGCCAGCATCAAGTCGATTGTCGAGTAGTAATTTTGTGTGATATTTCTCATTACATTTTGATATATTTCAAAAATCTTTAATGGGTCTTCGTGCCACTTAGGACTTCAGAGCTTTTTGTTGTTGTTGTTGGGTACATATTTCTTGGGTCAACCAAACTAGGTCACAACCTGACTTCACTTGCAGACGCATTCAGTTCTGACTTTTTCCCTGTTAGCGGTGGATTGCTTCAGAGTCCTGCTCCCACCCCAACCCTCGTTCTCTTACATATTGATAACATTTTGCCAATAGCCAAAACCTGTACAAATTCATATGCAAATACGCGAACCGTTCAGACCAAAACTCTTAGGTTATTCTACTAAAAAAAAACATCCTCTGCCTTTTTCCCTCGCAGACGGATTGACTATTACAAACTCTCTGAAGTCCAGTCTCACACTCACTACACACTGGGAAACCACTGGACACTCTACACACTGGAGAACAAACTGGACGGTCTACACACAGAACACGCAACACTGGAGAACAAACTGGACGGTCTACACACAGAACACGCTACACTGGAGAACAAACTGGACGGTCTACACACAGAACACGCAACACTGGAGAACAAACTGGACGGTCTACACACAGAACACGCTACACTGGAGAACATACTGGACGGTCTACACACAGAACACGCTACACTGGAGAACAAACTGGACGGTCTACACACAGAACACGCTACACTGGAGAACAAACTGGACGGTCTACACACAGAACACGCTACACTGGAGAACAAACTGGACGGTCTACACACAGAACACGCTACACTGGAGAACAAACTGGACGGTCTACACACAGAACACGCTACACTGGAGAACAAACTGGACGGTCTACACACAGAACACGCTACACTGGAGAACATACTGGACGGTCTACACACAGAACACGCTACACTGGAGAACAAACTGGACGGTCTACACACAGAACACGCTACACTGGAGAACAAACTGGACGGTCTACACACAGAACACGCTACACTGGAGAACAAACTGGACGGTCTACACACAGAACACGCTACACTGGAGAACAAACTGGACGGTCTACACACAGAACACGCTACACTGGAGAACAAACTGGACGGTCTACACACAGAACACGCTACACTGGAGAACAAACTGGACGGTCTACACACAGAACACGCAACACTGGAGAACAAACTGGACGGTCTACACACAGAACACGCTACACTGGAGAACATACTGGACGGTCTACACACAGAACACGCTACACTGGAGAACAAACTGGACGGTCTACACACAGAACACGCTACACTGGAGAACAAACTGGACGGTCTACACACAGAACACGCTACACTGGAGAACAAACTGGACGGTCTACACACAGAACACGCTACACTGGAGAACATACTGGACGGTCTACACACAGAACACGCTACACTGGAGAACAAACTGGACGGTCTACACACAGAACACGCTACACTGGAGAACATACTGGACGGTCTACACACAGAACACGCTACACTGGAGAACATACTAGATATGTTACACACTGTAAAACATACTGGACACAAAACATTTAGCACTTGCTTATCCCACGTGATGGCCACCTCTCTCGACTCTTCAATTTGCATCTAACTCTCCTTCTCATGCCAGGCCTCCAGCCTTCTCATGCCAGGCCTCCAGCCTTCTCATGCCAGGCCTCCAGCCTTCTCATGCCAGGCCCCCAACCTTCTCATGCCAGGCCTCCAGCCTTCTAATGCCAGGCCTCCAGCCTTCTCATGCCAGGCCCCCAACCTTCTCATGCCAGGCCTCCAGCCTTCTAATGCCAGGCCTCCAGCCTTCTCATGCCAGGCCTCCAGCCTTCTCATGCCAGGCCTCCAACCTTCTCATGCCAGGCCTCCAACCTTCTCATGCCAGGCCTCCAGCCTTCTCATGCCAGGCCTCCAGCCTTCTAATGCCAGGCCTCCAGCCTTCTCATGCCAGGCCTCCAACCTTCTCATGCCAGGCCTCCAACCTTCTCATGCCAGGCCTCCAACCTTCTCATGCCAGGCCTCCAACCTTCTCATGCCAGGCCTCCAACCTTCTCATGCCAGGCCTCCAGCCTTCTCATGCCAGGCCTCCAGCCTTCTCATGCCAGGCCTCCAACCTTCTCATGCCAGGCCTCCAACCTTCTCATGCCAGGCCTCCAGCCTTCTCATGCCAGGCCTCCAACCTTCTCATGCCAGGCCTCCAACCTTCTCATGCCAGGCCTCCAACCTTCTCATGCCAGGCCTCCAGCCTTCTCATGCCAGGCCTCCAGCCTTCTTATGCCAGGCCTCCAACTTTCTCATGCCAGGCCTCCAACCTTCTCATGCCAGGCCTCCAGCCTTCTCATGCCAGGCCTCCAACCTTCTCATGCCAGGCCTCCAACCTTCTCATGCCAGGCCTCCAGCCTTCTCATGCCAGGCCTCCAACCTTCTCATGCCAGGCCTCCAGCCTTCTCATGCCAGGCCTCCAACCTTCTCATGCCAGGCCCCCAACCTTCTCATGCCAGGCCTCCAGCCTTCTCATGCCAGGCCTCCAACCTTCTCATGCCAGGCCTCCAACCTTCTCATGCCAGGCCTCCAACCTTCTCATGCCAGGCCTCCAGCCTTCTCATGCCAGGCCTCCAACCTTCTCATGCCAGGCCTCCAACCTTCTCATGCCAGGCCTCCAACCTTCTCATGCCAGGCCTCCAGCCTTCTCATGCCAGGCCTCCAACCTTCTCATGCCAGGCCTTCAGCCTCAGCCACACTAGATCTCATTTCTCAAATCACGGTATATAGTTTCGGGGGAAAAAAATGTCTATTATCCCCCCATTTTTTTCATTTATCCTCTGCTTCAACTCGCAGGTGGTCTCCACATGGGGGACTGTTCCTTCATCTGGGGAACATTTCAACCCACTCTCGGCCACCTGCCCTCGTCCCTCCTCTCGCCTTGTCTCACACTCAGTATGTTGCCTTTTCATATTCTAATGTTGCTTCGAAAGGAATGTGCCCCGGTACGTGGCCAACCATTGTGCTACGCCCAGGGAGGTACTTTACTGCATGCCATTAATTCGGAATATTTCAGAATACCCTCTTGCATATGGTGGTTGGACAGACGCCACGGACTAACATGTGCACACGTACACATACGTACACACACACACACACACACACACACACACACACACACACACACAGGGGGAAGGGGGGGGGGGGGGGCCAGTGGCTGACTGAATAGCACAATAGACACGTGATCCTGTGGTCGCGGGTTCGATTCCCGCCGCCAGCGAGAAACAATGGGCAGAGTTTCTTTCACCCAGATGCCCCTGTTACCTAGCAGTAAATAGGTACCTGGGAGTTAGTCAGCTGTCACGGGCTGCTTCCTGGGGTGTGTGTGTGTGGTGTGGAAAAAAAATAGTAGTTAGTAACAGTTGAGGGCCGGGCCGAAAGAGCAGAGCTCAACCCCTGCAAGCACAACTAGGTGAAATACACACACATACATACCCAGGAAGCAGCCTGTAGCAACTGTCTAACTCCCAGGTACCTATTTACTGCTAGGTAACAGGGGTATCAGGGTGAAGGAAACTCTGCCCATCTGTTTTTCCGCCGGCTGCTGGGATCGAACCACGGTCCCTAGGTCTACGAGTCTAGAGCGCTGTCCACTCAGCCAGCCAGGCACCCCATACACAGAGAGAGAGAGAGAGAGAGTGTGTGTGTGTGTGTAAAGATGTAGTCTGTGGACTTTGTGTTCAGGGGGGACACATGAGGCACAGGGAGGTCCTTGCTCTTCTCCCAAGAAGAGCTCAGTTTTAATCACTACTATTTAGTCATAGTATTTTTTATCTATTTACTTTCTTCTTACACTAAACCACTCTATTTCACTCTTCAGTCTTGTTAAGTGTTCTAATTTAATATCTTCACTTACTCTATGTCCATTCTTAAGTCAAATTTTACTCTTAATCTGCCTCCGATCTATGTTATTTAACCTGGGACCTTAACCTCAAAAATTTTTCACCCAATTATATCCAATCTCATCTATTAAAATTCTATATCCTACCTCGCACTGGTTAAATTATATGTGTATAATACTTTTAGCGTAAATTCGGTCGAGCCAATTTGTAGTTTCTCCACAATATATAAAAAAGTGTCAAGAAAAAGGCCATTCAGTTTCGAAATCTTTTCCCCATTTGACTCTGACAATTTCCTTCTCTCCTTCCCGAGTAAGGCGGCTTGTGGGAGGGTGAGGGGAGAGTAACCAGCGGAGGGAAGGTGTGAGTGAGGGGAGAGTAGCTAGGCGGAGGGAAGGTGAGAGTGAGGGGAGAGTATGTAGGAGGGAAAGTGAGTGAGGGGAGAGTAACAGGCGGAGGGAAGGTGAGAGTGAGGGGAGAGTAACCAGGAGGAGGGTATGTACTTGAGAGTGAGGCTAGAGCAACTAGGTGGAAAGGTTATGTTCCATGGGAAGGGGGAAGGAAGAGGGAAGTAATATGAAGACGATGAGAGAGATTGTCTTGAGTACCCAATCAATTATATTTTACCTTGTAACTTCTCTCACTTTTATCCTGTTTCATGTTTTATTTCCTTATGTCACGTTGTCTCTCATTCATAAATTAAACAAAATTTTCATGGTTGAAAAAATTATACTTTAAAAGAGTGACAGATGAGTCTTTATTATAAAATATAACTAAACCACAATAATAATAATAATAATAATAATAATAATAATAATAATAATAATAATAATTTTAATTACTATTTAATAATTATTACTGCAAAATTAATAATATAATTTTATAAAAGAAAGGAAATAAACAATTTCTTCTTTTGCATTTTGGCCTTTTTCACTATAGGGCATTTTGTTTCCTGTCACAGACGTGGCCATTCATTTCTGCGCTGCTGACCTTCATATATATACTTCCAGCTGTTCTTGGGCAAGGCTAGAGATGTTAGGCAACAATCAGTTAATATATTAAGGTGCAGAAGAAGAAAGCAAGAAGGAATATATACTCCGAGGTGTCTAACCCGCGTCTCTGTACATAAACTGATAATTTACTTTAGTACTGAACTCTGCGGTTGGTAGACCTTAAGCTCAACACCCAATTAGAGGAAGAATGATGTGATATTTTAAAAGGAAAAACCAGCCAATTGTCGGGAAGCCTTCTGTCAACAGAGCTGCTATTCGAAGCTGGAGTCATCGTTATATTTCAGTTTTTACGAGACATAGGTAGTTATATTTGAGACGGGAAAGTTACCGGTCTCCAACAAAAAAAAAAAAATGAGAGGGAGTTTCATCTCGGTAATGAATTTTAACTGCGTTGACTGAAATGGAGTTTAACGATTATATGGAAGTGAATGTGAGTGGAGAGGGGAGGTTTCTATCGTTTGACCTTTATTATACTTTGGTAAATCTTAGTTTTTCTGTTTATCGTTGATAGCACGAATCATTGGCCCGCCTTTCCATCCGTCATTTAATACAATGATTTCCATTTCTTGTTTCATGTCGTACTTCCATGTGGCACTGCTTGCTGAATTAGCTTCACTGATCTCTAACTAGACCGATCTTTGTGTTTGTGTCTTACAATGAAGAACTTTTTCCTGACGTCTTCCCGGCTCATCCGTGTCAAGAGCTTCGTGTCCTCTGGGCACACTGTTGTTAGTTCTGAACACAGCCTCTTGGTCTACCTATCAGTTACTTTATTCATTTTGTACGCAATTGTCAAATATCCCCCTTGGTTCGCCTTCCCTACCTCGTTGCGAGTTTCTATTATGCCTTTACCGTTTCACATTTTGGAAAAATGACAAACTTGTCTACTGCCTCCCAACATTTCTGGGTGATATAGCTCATCGGGTATTGCATGGTCTCCCCTCTGAGTTCTGTTTCCCATGGTATTTATATTAAACATTCTCATTTCATAAGTTTCCCTTCGGTATGCCCGCCTTTTGCCTTCTGGACACCTCTCCGGAGCAGGTTATTCCTACTTCCACCAGATATCCAAATGTCAGTAGACAGTTATCACTAATTCCTATGGAGGTATCTAGACTGACTTCCCTTGTACTTGAATCGTTTAAAGAGAATATCTGGTCGAGTATTGCTGGTTCATTACTACCTTTCATTCTTGAGTCTCCTGAAATATTGGATAAGAAAATTTCTTATTGGCAGTTTAATTGTTTAGTTCTTCTTGCACCTATTGCCTCATGTTGTTCTCCCAGTCTATCTTGTTATGGTTGAAATGTCCCATGATTAATAATCAGGATCTCCTCCTACAGATGAAGGATGCTACTCTTTACAATTACAGCAATATAGTTTCCATGATGTTGTTGTCGTACGCCTGTCTGGGTCTTCTTCCATTCAGTGGAATGTTGTATAGTACTATTATTATATTTCTTCCTTCTATTGGTATAGTGGACGTCGTGTAGACTGTGAGACCTATACATCTTGGGGTCGTTATCTCGAAACTTTACTCCTTTCTGAACAGCAAGGCTACTACTCCTCTCCTTCCATCTCTCTCTCTCTCTCTACTGAATGTAGCAATGGGGCAACACAGCATTGGTTATGACATTTGATAATTTGATTTATGTGAGTAATTGCATCTGGGATCTCTTCAGGTGACCTTTCCCTACGTTCACTTTCATTGTTTGTAATTCCTTCTATGTTTGTGTGCGTCATTTTAAAGGTCAGTTTATTCTGTGTATTCTCACATACACTCACCCCTGACCTTCGTTTCACAGGTGTGGGGGAGTTGTTCTAATGTTGTTGCAAGGTTAGGTGGTTGATGGGAGCTGAAGGGGAATAAGGCAGAGGGAATATGATTGCTGGGCATGGGAGGGGGGGAAGAAGCTAGAGACAGACAGAGACAGAGCAGACATAAAGAGAGAGAGAGAGAGAGAGAGAGAGAGAGAGAGAGAGAGAGAGAGAGAGAGAGAGAGAGAGAGAGAGAGAGAGAGAGAGAGAGAGAGAGAGAGAGAGAGAGAGAGAGAGAGAGTTATTATTCAGTTTATGAGGTCCAAACTTGGAGCAAGGTTCATAACCTAATACCCAGCCGGGGCGCCGCTTGCTGGCCTTGCCATCAGACAGGCCACAAAGTACACAAAATAAAGATAACAATAATACATAATAATAATTTGTTAACAAATAAGCACGAAAGATTAAAGCACAGTTTGGACAAATTTACATACATACATATAATTATTATTCCGTTTTCCACTTGTATGAGGATGTGGAGGCATCAAACAGAAAAAAATGAGTAATATTGTATTAAAACGTCAGACATGTCATTCGTTATCTGTCATTCACATATATTGCATCACAGATAAACAAGTACCACCACACTGCAATAAGAGAAGCCAATCACTGCCTCATATAACTCTATATTCACCAACAGACATACTCCTTCATTTTCAGGCCCACTTAACTGTTTTTTCATAAGCCTAGCACATTGAATTTTCCTGCCTTAAAACTTTCGCCACTTTTAACTTCGCATGTGCCTGAGTTTTCCTGTCACACTCCACTCAAGCTATACGAACTTGCTTTTGCCTTCTGGTTCCTGGCCAAGTGCAGGCTCCAGATTCGAGGATATTTTGACCATGGCCCCGCCCGTGGAGGTGGAGGGGGGGGGGGGGGCGGCCAAATGTCCCAGTTATCTAACAGATAGGATGCGATGTTCAACATTGTGGTAGGTGGTGGGTGGGGGGGGGGGGGTCTTCACGTTCACATTTTCGCCAGCTTCTGTTTCAAATTAATTTCGAATAAGTGCCAGTTTGATAAAAATTAATC